GAAAGAGAGCAAAAGAAAGCAAAAGGAAAGCACATCATGGCTTGGAGAGAGGCAGTATTGAAGTTGCTTCTTAGGGAAAAGGGGTATACGATTAGTCCAACATAATGGTAAGAAGAATTTGAGGGTGTATGAACGGGACGGAGACATCACTTGGTCAACATTCCACTGCATGAAATTCGCTTGCAGCGTGATGAAATTGGCCATTCTATTCACTGCAAGCGAATCCCCGACCCTTGGTGGGAAGACTCACTACTATCAATTGTCCTTACTCGGCGCCATCTGAGGAACCTCAGCTTCGAGCAAAAACTGCCTTTCACCTGATATGGTGGCAATCTAGCGAGCGTGAAATGATCTCACCCGCTGCCTTTTTCTACCACTGGTTGTTTTCTACCCAAAACGGCCTCTTTTGGTACACCCCATATCCCGGAGGCAGAGTAGGCTTGGCGACATACTCCATTTGAACATGTCCTACGACGCATTTTCTGCGGGAATTTTTTCATTTGAGACAGTAGTCATCTCTTGTACTGGACAAAGAGATGGGCAGAGTAGTCCTAAAATTGCAATATTTTACCAAAATCACAGTGGCCGCCTCATTCAAATGAGGTCTGTAGTTACGCCCATGCCATCTCTGGGATACGAAGTGTGGAAAGTAGCAGGCGAGCGCACTCCACTCCACAGTATGGCTCAATTGCGACAACTGTACCACAGGGAATTTCCGACGAAAAAGCTTGAAAATGACATTTCATGCTTCGCCAACGCGCAGCGGCCGGCCTTTTGCTCTTCTGGGACTGGTGGTCCTGTGAAGAGCCAGGCGTACTACATAGTATTATAGATCATGTGCTCATTACTTTAATGGAGTGACACTGGTAATTCTAGAGTGACGCAGCTGTTCTACAAAGAATAATCAGAAGTAATGAAGAATAAGGAACATCCGCCTCTGATCCCCCCCCCCTGCAATCGTCAAGAAAGCAAATCGTTTCATGAATCCAAACACCTCAGAATGTTCTTTGATGATGGCGTGTCACTGTTATCTCAAAATAGCAACGAGGAAACGTCAACGAAAAAGCCTCGATAAGAAATTACTTTGATAATTGAACAACAATGCGCTAAATAATCAAAAGTCAGATGGAGACCATAAAAGACTACAAATGTATGTTTGTGAAGAAAAAACATCGGTGTATAAAAAGTATGTCCCTAAGGCAGAGCTGCGCTTTCAAAGGCGCTATGATTTCGAATGGAGACGAAGTGCATGGCGCAGCCCAAAGTTCGTCTCATCGACGGAGAAAATGTTTTTCTCATTGACGCATCTCTTTTCCCTATCATATTGAAGAAGGAGCGCTAGTGCAAAAGGAATAATAAATTGACTTTTCACCCACTTCTCCGCCCATTCTTTGCGGAATGTACCTTTAAAATGACAGCGTCCGCATGAACGAAGACACTTCAGTTATCAGGGCACGACGTACGTCGAGGATCCCCTATGGAGGGGGGTCGCACTTTAGTCTTCTGCGATAAGGGCTAAACAGGGTCTTAAATATGCGTTTTTTTTAGTTGTCGACTTTATTTTAGTTTTTCCGTGTCCCAGCCCCTCTTCGTTGCCCCTCCCCTTACTCCTCGCTCAACGACAGCTTCTCTGAAAAAAAGTGGAGGGTTTTAAAAAACTTACTTCGGAAAAGGTGGTAGGCGGAGAAAACTTGGAAAGGTAAGGGGTGGGGATGGAGGGGTCGTTCTAGCAGCAGAATAGTTCTGGCAGGACGAGCTGATATATTTGCAACAAAATTTCCTCAATGGCAGGACGTTGGCTCAGTCGTTGGTACGACCCTTTTCTACAATGGGAAAGTGGATGGGCGCGCTGATAGTCAACGCTCTACGGGAAGCTCGATCCCTCCCAGGCTGTTGCCGTTTTCAAAGAACAAATTTTGATGTCAGTAAAGCCCACAAGTAAGTTTCAATCAATTACTAAAAGAAAAGAACTGGCTCTAGCCTTTGTCACAACGCAGTTATCGATTGAATCGGAAGTAGTCAGAGCGGTGCCGTTTTCGAATGGATCCTACGGAAGAAACCTGTCCAATACAGTAGACCCGTTCAGAAAGCCTTAGCCTACTAATTTTTTATGGTAGCTACGAAATGAATGGCCTACGGATTAAACGAAGCAGGTCGCGCCGAAGCCGGCATAAGGCCGCTGCTTACCCAATGAAAACGCAATGCGCTTTCATCCGCACCCAACGATTTGACGCGAAAAGAACTGCAGTTAACATATGGCGGGTGGTCTAGAATAATTACCAAACCAAGCCAGCTAAGCTTTTATGTCGCTGTGCTCGCTTCTCTTTCCTATGGCCTATATAAATCCCATTTCATCGGCTTACCTTTGCAGCCGTCACAGCTGACAGCTCCATAATGCTTTCCAGTGGCTTTATCGCCACAAATTGCACACAAACTCTCCGATGAAAGCATTTAGCACTGGATGAGCCCACATGCGCGACGAGTCAGCAATTTAGGTCAATAAAAAATCACTCTCGATTACATGTAAAGGTGAAAGTTGTGATAACGACGGCATTACATGATAGAACCAAAAGCACTATTTGAAGTCGTTAGCATTACCTCGACGCGGTTACGACGAGAGTGCAGTGGAATGCCTGAGTTGAGCGACCTTCGTTCGGTCCAGTTAGGCGTTGGATTCATTCTTTTCTCGTTGTCGATAACGTTATCAACGCATTGATTACCTCCAGTGCTTGTGGTGCCGATTTTCACGTTTTCAGTCGTTCTGGGTGATCTGATCAGCAGTTTATGGTTAGATGATTGTCTTGGTTAAGCGAGACTTCCTTGTCTCAACCTCTCGAGTGGATTCAGAACTGAGATCCATTTCCTTCTGCCTTCCCTGCATCTGCGAGAAACCGATTTAAAACCTGTTTTTCATGTGTTTCCTCAATAGGCTATTATAGAATCAACAACATCTTCACGAGTGGCGCTTGAAAATGATATTTTCGGAAAACTTGTGAGCAAAGCAAGTTATTTGGATCATTATTATCGATTAAACGGTCTCATAAGGTGTTATTGTTTGAACGTTCCGTGCGAAACAGGTGAACAATGATTCTTCATGTGTAATACAAAAAAACAAGAATTTCAATTCCATGAAGCTTGAAAGGATTCATAAGATTCGTAAAGGTTCGTGTAGTATCCACATGCAGTATTTATTCGCTCAGGCTCTGAATACACTTTATTAATTTAGTTAGGTAATGTACAGAGTATACTGAAACAACCATCGTCAGAGTGACTCTTCAATTAGGAGAAAAAAACGTGCAGTCTTCTTACAAGGGAACCCCAACAGGTCGATCCGGCCATTTGCAATGAGATGTATATATATGGACGTGTCTTGAGCCGCTGAATCCAAATCTGCCCTCGGAATTTGCGGAACGATTCTCTGAAGGGAGTTACGGACCATTTAATCTCTGCTTCGTCCGCACAAGTTGGGAACGATACCTGCATGAGGCGGCCGATTCTCCATTTCTGGTTCCTTTTGAAAACTTTTATTATGAGGATAACCGTTTCTAGAGCTTGCATCAAGAAATGAGGATCTTACGGTTTAAGAGCACATGTGCAACTTTTTGTGGTTATGTAGGTCTGTTGCACGCAGTCCA